GGAATTACTTTGCAATAACACCGATTGTCGCTTAAAAGGAGAAACAATTATTTCCCGGATATTCTTACAAGGAAACGTGTTCCCCTGGTATCTCGAATGGACGCCAATTTGTTAAAGCATCCTCCTATTTTCCTGGTACAGCCAAGTGTCTTGGACGTAAGGAATTTTTATAATCTCGAACGAGGTGCAAATCGTGTCCACCTATCGCCATATTTCAAATTCGAGCTTGAATGATTCGAATACGATTACCATAACCGACAACTGCTCAAACGAGTCTTTCAGCTATTCATTATTCCGTATAAAGTTAAATTCTATTTCGAAGATGCGATCATTGAACGCGAAGCTTAAGTAACGTCGTAATCGATTCACAAAACTGGTTGTCTATAATAATATCAATTATTCCTCTTCGAATTAAGTTTAAATTAACAAAAAAGGAAACTAAGGTACAATAACTCTTTTGCGAGCGATACTGTGCATCACTATTCCATAAGAGGATAACCTATCTATATAATACAATATACATATTAATTATCCAATAATTAATACCCGAAATTATTTATCCGCGATAATATTAATTATTCCTCTTGGAATTATGAGGGAATTAAAAAATTCGCGAGTACAGTTACTTCTCTGCAAGTGACTGTACATACCACAGTATCCCACAAGAGGTTATGGGCATCCACGTAATACCACGTATACCTTCATAGGTATCAGAAAATTACGTTAATCCCCGAAAGGTTATGCGAAAACGTCTGATATTTCCATTGTTAGGGCCCTAGTACACGGTGTCCATCCGCAAGAGAAAAATTCCTGTCGTATAATTCCATTCTTGCACGGTGACGCGTACGATGGTATTACCGATCCGAATGGCAATAAATTCATACTCATTTCGACATTTACGCGAGCAGTTGTGCAATCCGGTATTGGGTATTTCTATCCAGCCTTTGTCTCTGTCCGCGTACCCCGTTTGCCTATTTCGAGGCTACGCGAACCGGAATCGACGCTTTATCCGATGAAAATCTGTCTGTCGTCGCTAAGAGCAAGGTGCACTCGAGGGGAAAAATGGCGCGGTCGCGCCGAAACGACCAACGAAAATGACGCGAACGAGATACTCGTGACACCCGGCCCTAAAACGCCGCTGTCTATTACCTACCGGCGGTGAAATCGTTTTTAGATGGAAATGCAATTGTATGCGATAATATAGTTCCTGTATTATACATAACGTATATATAGATATATATATAAATTTAATATAAATTATTCTACTAGTAGCGTTAGACTGTGCTAAGAGTAGTGCATTACGCGAGCCAAAAATTACACGTCGCGTTGATATCTGTCGTAATTATTCTTTCGATGTCGATTCAAGATGCGATTACCGAATGTTTAGACGCCAGTTCGAAACGATGGACTCGACGTCGATTCGAGCGCCATCGACGATCGAAAGAGAGAACCAACATACGGTAGTGTCGGGCAAGGGACAATAAAAAGAGAACCTTAGCGGATAATCATCCACGTCCTGCGGTTCTCCCGGGACGACGACTGCGAGGACATCTAGCGGCGGACGGGGGTAGGTGAGAATTATCGATGAGAATTCGATGCAGATTCGCGTACCATGTATCGACGCATCGTCTCAACTTTTTATCCGTGAAACTGTCGCTTTGTAAATTCGCGAATAGTGGTAACCGAACAGCGCCAACTTGATTAACGCCGCTTTCCAGCTTGATACATGCTTAACCTCTTACGTTCGAAATTAATTTCTTATTTCTCGCTCTCGTGGAGTTAATCGAGTTGACGAGTGATTTGAAAACGTAATTTTTCTCGATTTCCGAGATTATTTTTAATTTCGGAAATATCACGAATTAAACACGCGTAAAAATGAACGAAATTGACAACAATGTCGATCGATATAACGTTCGACGAAGAAATATTTTATTCGCGAATATTTGAAAGCAATTAACGCGATTGTTTGTAAATTTGTACGTTTGAGTAATATAATTTTGTATTCATCGCCGTTCACTCTTGTCTATTTATATTTGCTGTTGTCATGGGACTTAATTTTAGGTTAGCTGCTTATAATAAACGTTGTACCCGACCCGTTGCTGTGTTTAACTTATTTAATAACGGAGTATGGAAAAATACTGTAATCCTCAATTAAATTATTAACGTTATTATTATACAAGACTGTGTGTCCTAATTAATTTATTACGATACTTGATTTAAAAATGTCGCCGTTTCGCTGCGCGTAAAAAACCGACGCGTATCAATAAAAACTCTGCCATCGTTTCGTAATAAACTCTGTGCACTGACCAAGATAGAAGATAAATATCATTTGCATATACTCAGGCACGGACACTTCTGTACAATGAATATGAAATAGCGGTTGACACCGGGTATAATTTCAAACATGTTCCACAAAAAATCCAACTTTCCTCACATATTTTCCAAACTTGTTGTCGCATAAATTTGCCGTGTATTGAACAACATTTCTGTTCTCAATTGTAACTAACTCGGTGACTATGTAATTTCAAATTTTACCGCTCTACACGATAACTTCGTACGAAAATATTGTAACACGCTTGCGACGAAATATGCGGTATTAAATTTGTGATATAATACCTGCAATCGAAAAACACCGATACTCCAATCTTCGAAAAAAAAGAAAAAAAGAAAAATAATAATAATAATAGAAACGCAAAACGAAGAAAAATTTTGTTCCTTCGAGAAGAATGAACGATGAAACCTTTTCCTACCAAAAATTAAAAAATAATACGGAAAAAAGGAACAGAAAGATCGTAAGAAAATAGGAATGGCGTTGTAATCATGCGATGGTAGCCTAAATTCGGTGATCCAGATTTTTCACGTCACGCGTTTAGGGTATCGCACGACTCACGTAAAACTTGTACAATTAGGGCAAAATAGTGAGCACGATAGGTGATAAAATAGGAAGCCCGTGTAAATGAAATTAAGCGTCCCTTAGCTTCCAGGATAATTAAAAAATCACGAAATTGTCGATCTTCGTGGGTGACGAAAAATAAAATAAAAAAAAACGCGGGAATTATGAAGTGATTTTTCCGAGCGAACTATTTCGAAGATAGAACCCATACACTGCTGTGTACTTAAAGTAATCGACAGTAATCGTTTGTAAAGAGTATATAGAGTGAGCGTCGTAAATTCTGCGGATGTAAACAGGATATAGCCTAGTAATCATCGATTAATTCCTTAAGTTTCGAGAATGCTTTATCTAGACGATAACTACGTGAATTAACTTATAAATAAATCGAGCCGAGTAAATAAGATGGATTTATATATGTATACATGCTACATGTATCGACGAGAATCGATCTATCTGTGTATACGTATACCGCGCGTATATGTGTATATACATATGTGTCTGTATGTGTGTATGTGGCTGTATGTACATACATATACATATATATCGGTTAGCAACTACTTTCAAGACTGTGGAACATCATAGGTGTATGAATGTTTAAATAAATTATTATAACGTGGCAATCAATTTTCTCTCTAATTATTGCTCTAATACCTCTAACTTTCCCTCCTAATTACATGTTTAATGATAAATCAACCGACGTAACGAAGGGTCATTCGGCATAAATTACATGCCTCGCGAAATATATGTTCTGAAAGCTTGAAAGTTCACCGTGTTCCTTTCGGTTTTGCTATGTACGTGATACTCATTTATTCGATGTAATCGTATATGCAACGGAAGATGTAAATGTATATACATACATATAATACACGAAATGGTCCATTAATTGGTCGCCATTATAGCCTAACCTATTTCTAGTAGTCGAACGAAATAAATGTTTCAAACGAGAGATATATGTAATTACGTTATATGTTGTGGTTATTTTACATAAAATGTTTGAAATGTTTGAAATTTCCATACTGATTATTCGCATAATTATTCAACGACGATTGGAAAATGATTGATCGATCGCTGATACTTGTTTGGAAAAAAAGTTCAATGGCAGCGATAAAAAATATGCAGTTACGTCAAAGTTTGTAGAATCGTGACTAAGTCCTGTGTTCAAGGAAAACTTCACGAACACGCTATCGAAATGATTACGTATTAGAACTTTTAGAACGTGACTGAAGATTTCTCAACATTCGATTCTACAGAGACAGTGAAACGCTTCGATTAAAATTTGAAGTGACTCGAGAGTTATATGGAAATTAATATAATGGCATATAAGCCATTATAATCTCAGTATTGCACAGCTTGAATCGTTCTGTTGCAGGAAATATATCTGAATAATTTCATAATTTTATATTTCGATATTTCTATATTATCGTTATTCGTTTTATCCCTATTTTTTATTTCTTTTGTTATTAATATTACATAAGCTGATGCGAATTTGTAAATACAAATAACGATAAAGATAATGGAATAAGAAGAATTAACGCAATCGATATCGTTCGCAATGACGTCATCGTATCAGAAGCATACGAGTGACTCGTCGCATACGGAAATTCTTTTCCGATTTATCAACAAATTGCATAATATCATACACATACATAAACGTAGTATAGATCAGATACTCGATGTACTTTTGTAAAATATTATTTCAACCCTACAAATGGCATCGATTACTCTAATAAAAATATTCTCAAACTTTTATTTACGAATAATACAAATATACGTTGCGACTTACTTTTTTGTCGATGTAATAGAAAAGGATCCTTCACGTTCAATTACCCACGATACAACACTTCACTCGTCACACACGTTGGTAGAGAATAAAATAAACGTTCTAATATCTTCTAAGCACGATATTTTAATTCGTATAGCACAAAATCCCGTAATATGTCTATTTTTCGTAACTAAATTTCTAATGTTCGCATTTTCAAACGCGGGAAAACTGTTACTATTAAATTTCTTGTTGCCAACACTGCGGCAGCACTTGCCACTCCGATTATACCGACATCTAGTAACGGGGTATTGTATTCTGTCGAACTGTTCAAAATGTATTTTAAAGGTTATGTTCATTAGTACAGTTTGTAAACAATAGTAAAGATTACTGTGATAAAGTCAAGTACTCGTTAACAATGGAAACGAGTCAAATAAAATGATCAATGTTTTATTTTAAATTTAGAAGTTTTATTGTTGCAAATTGTCATTCCACGTAGAAAGCAATAATAAATTTTATACGAATTCATGTGATACGTAATTTTATCAGAATGTATTTGAAATTTATCATTACCTTCTGTGTTTTTTATTTAAGCTATGCTTGGGAGGTATGTATTATAACTTTGGCACATGAAATTTTGTTAATGTCTTCTCATAGTTACGAATTGTAACAATCTAACCTTTATAGATACCGGATAACTTCGCTAAGACCGGTCATTCGAATAATTGGGCCGTATTAGTCGATACTTCACGATTTTGGTTTAATTATCGACATGTAGCAAACGTGTTATCCATTTATAGGAGTGTTAAACGCTTAGGTATACCGGATTCACAAATTATTCTAATGATAGCAGACGACATGGCATGCAATCCAAGGAATCCTAGACCAGCTACTGTTTTTAATAACATTAAACAACATATTAATGTTTATGGAGACGACGTAGAAGTAGATTACAGAGGTTACGAAGTTACTGTAGAAAATTTTGTGAGATTATTAACTGGACGGTTAGCACCAGAGACACCAAGATCTAAGAAGCTATTAACCGATGAAGGATCAAATATTTTGATTTATCTTACTGGTCATGGTGGGAATGGATTTCTGAAATTCCAAGATTCAGAGGAAATTACTAGTAAAGACCTTGGAGATGCCTTGGAGCAAATGTGGCAGAAAAGAAGATACCATGAAATTTTATTCATTGTTGATACTTGTCAAGCAAGTTCAATGTATGTGAAATTTTATTCTCCAAATATACTAGCAGTTGCTTCTAGTCTAGTGGGAGAAGACTCACTCTCTGTGAGTAATGATGATAAACTTGTATGTATTTTTTAATGGGACATTATTAATATCTTAAATTTTATTTACAGCACCACTTGGATCCTGCCATAGGTGTTTACATTATAGATAGATATACATATTACGCGTTGGACTTTTTAGAAAAAGTGGAACCATCGCATTCCAAATCATTGGGAGAATTTGTAAGTTGTATAAAAAGTATTTGTTGAATTAAAATTAATGCACCGATAAATTAATCTATTTTCTTTTTCAGCTCAAAGTGTGTCCCAAGCATTATTGCTTGTCAACAGTAGGAGTGAGAGATGATTTATTTAGAAGAGATCCTGATAAAGTACCAGTCACTGACTTCTTTGGATCACTAAGGCCTATAGAATTAACCACAAATATAATGAATATTTTACCAAATAAAATAAATAAAACAAAAACCATCGAAGTAGAAAGGAAGTATTCTTATGCTGCCCAATTTCCAGATGTATCAAAATTAACGTGATTCATAAAAATAAATACGAACTTCCTGAAAAAAAAAAGATTATGTTTGCTTTTCAAATATTTAAGTGAAAGAACGTGAAACGATGAAATATTTAATGTTAATAAAAGAAGGTATTTCCTAAGATGTTTTGACTAATTTTTACATCACCATATCAAACACTTACAGACGTCTCAAACGTCATATATTTACATGACGCTTTGTAATCTTGTTTTTATCACCTTAAAAGTATTAAGGAAGGTATATGTTTGGGAAAAGTCAAGAAATCTATTTGTAATAGATAACGGAATACCATTATCATGGTATCTAGAACATAATATTATTCTTATTACATAAATTTCAGATAAAATTATAAAAGTAATATCACGAGTGAAATAACAACCCGGAAATTCCCAATTTGTTTTATATTTTTAATCATTTAATTGATGTTTTTCTTATGAGTCATAGCGTTTAATTTCTAATCTTTGTACCACACCAAATCACTCGCGTATCTGTAATTTTCTACGTATTAAGAATTCTAGCTCTGCAATTGTCTTTAAAAATCGTAATTGATTATTATAAGGCAAATATTCCTGATGCTTAACGGTAGATACATCATAATCGCCATTGAATAACGAGCAACTTCACCTTGCCCTACAAACACAAAAGTGGTCACGGTCAGAGTTAGTTTTGCCGAAATTATCTCTGGATGCCAAGAAACTGTAAGCATTTAACATTGACGAAAGAAAAAGTTCGGTTATCCGAAGCGTCAGCGACTAAAATATTAAACATTTCTACGTATCGTTTACATTAGTTCTACGTATTGTATCTATGAATGCGATAGATGGAAGTCTGCGTAATGATTTCAAGCATCGTGTGTATAAGTCGCATATATAAGTATGATATCAGTCATCGTAAACGGCAGTTAGTAAAACGCGGCTGATAGCGTCGTACGAGAATTTTAATCGATCTAACCGTGCGTGAACCTACTCGGGAATCGTAGAAATCTTCCAAGTTCCATTGCTTCCTTCAAAGTTAGTATACATTACATTTAACAACGAGAGTGAAAAAAAAATGTCAGTTTATGTTAAAATCGAGTGAACAGAATTTTCGTGCTTCTTCAGTCACGAATCTCCATGTGAATTCCTATTACTCTACTTTTCTGTGTCACCTGGATAATTAATGTAACGATCACAATTTTTTTTTTTTTTTTAAGAAAATATTTACCTATTCACCTATCTATAATTTCAATAAACCTTTTATAAATAGAGTTTCTAATAGAATCTTTCCAACTTTACGCAATATGATATTTCTGGTTCACGCAGTGTCTGTGTGGTGTATCCTAGTCTAATTTAAATCCACAAATTTACTATCTATCTTTTTTAGATGCATTTCTTGGGTAACTGCTTGATAGTTGCTCTCACCATCTGCACTCTGTCATTCGCGTACAGACTAAACGAGGATTATATCGAAGTGCACGCCATTGACGGGAACAAGTTAACGAAACTAGAGCAACTACCTCCTCAAGATCCAGCGATCCATTCTTTCCCAACAGTGCCTACGGCCCCACTGATACCCACCTGTGCACAGGAAGGATACTTCAGGGACCCCTTCAACTGCAAGAAATTTTATTACTGCGAGTACAAGATGGCAGTTCCTACGGGTTTCTATTGTCAGTATGGACTAACGTTTAACACGCTCACTAATTCCTGTGATGAACCTGAATACGTGAATTGCTGACTGAAATATTTTTGAACAAATATCTCTGACTGTGCGACTGTATTTATTGATTCTCGTGTATGGCTGTTTGAGAGTTGTAAATAATCTATCGTGATGGCGATAGCATTGATATTTATTTATCGACTAACTATAAAAGTTATTTAGTAACTGAGATATCATGGAACGCATCCTTACAGGATACACTGTATTTATAAAATGTAAATAAAATTGCATACGTTACGAAATAATGGATCCCTTTATAGAAAAAGGAGGAAGAAAGAAACGGGAAAAGAAATCGATCACCTAAATGATAAACGACAGCTCGACACAGATACGACATAATATCCTAAAAATGAAATCCCACACCTCGAATGTTCCACGACGATGGAAGTGAACACGTAACGAGTACAATGAATCATGATTTTATTTGTTATATAATAATATCTACAATAAAAATACCACATCGTTTGAAAAACAATTTTCGTTACAATTATACAGTGATTTTATATAATAATATAATATTTAGGTTTTCGTTCCAAATAAGATGTAGCGATGAACATACACCTCGCAGTGGGAGTGAGAAAATACATTTTTTTTTGTTGCAAATTCCACATTGATTTCTTCACTCAGTGTTATTTTCCTTTTTTTTTCTTTTTCATCTTTTTTTGCAATACGCAACGAACACACTCGAAACGGCACCACGACGTGTCGTCTTTTATATTATCGCGCTTCCCTCGCTCTCCTCTCCGCTCGTAGTGACTGCCGGGATGAAAAGAATACTTCTCTCACCACTTCGTGGTGCAAGGAATCCGCCTCGAGTGCCACGTTCCTATCGTTTTCCTTTTTTTCTAGTTTTTCTCTGCTTTTTAAATATTTCGCGTCGCGTGCGCGCTGGCCCGCCGTTTCCGCCATTTTTTCGGTTTTTTCTTTTTTTTCTTTTCCTTCCCTCCTTTTCATTTAGCGAGATTCATAGAAATATTGGACTAGAGTAAATCCAACCTTTCCCTATCTCTTTCTCGTAACGCGAGCGTCCGCCCGCCTAATTTTTGTTAACTACACTTAGTTAATAGTACCGTAATGTCATCTCAATATATATCATTGTATTAGTTGTCATAATATATAGAAAATACATATAACAATTATTTAAATGACTCACAATCAATCATTTGTTAGAATGTACATATATGTGTATACATACGTGCAGATATGTATACATATATAGATACACGCATACACACATGTATACATACATATATTTATATATATATATATATTTATTTATTTATATTTATATTTATTCATTTATTTATAATATTTA